TAAACCTTTAAGACTTTTTATCTCCCAGGTCATGTATGCCCATATCACAAACAGAGTCTTCATCGATCTCATCCGTAAATCCCCGTGCGATGTATTTTGCCCCAGCAATCCATGCTCCGTAAAATATATGCAATTTGGATTGCATCCTTTGTACTCTGTAGCTCGCATGCAAAGTGAATAGTTCTTACCTTTGAACATAGCTTGATCGCCTAAGCTCTCCATCTCAACCCATTTAAACTTAAATTTATCTCTAATTATGACTCTCTTGTTGAGGATTCGGTAGTACGGACGGCCTTCCACAGGCTCCACCGGCTCATCAACGGCCTCAAGCTTGTAGACCTTAAAATCATTTGATCTACAAATACCTTCACGTCCGTAATCAAACAGTCTTACAACTTGTAGCAAGTCTCCTTGTGTGGACTCGACAAGATATCTGTGTTCGTCACCCCGTGCTTTTGGTGCATTTGCAATTTGTCTCATCTTCTTATCACCTGTAAAATCATAAATAACAGTGATCCCCTCATAATCAACAGCATAAATCTGACCATTGTAACGGATGACATCTTGGAGGTGATTCAGACAATGCTCTACATTAGTCCACTTGTCGTCTCCAACCCTACAAAATGATAGCACGCTGAAATTGGAGATCAATGCCATGACTAATGTGCAATCATCCTCATTGTCCGAATTTCTCCTCATATTTGAAGGATCTGACAGTATAATAGCCTTCTCTACAAACCCGAAATCATCACACTAGCCGTCGAAACTGCCATTAGGATGTTGGAAAGCATCAAGAGATGGGAGAGGGATTTGGGCCCTTGTTAATGGATTCAATAGGTGAATGTCACGGCCTTGGATATCCAACGCGCACAACCAACCGTGAGAGGATCCAGCAACCCACTTGTTTTTCATCTCTGGAACAAGAAACTCCCCATGGTTTTTTCCATCAGAAATAGAAAAGAAGTTGAGGTTTTGGTGGAAGTAGATGGAGATTATCTGTCACAAAGGCACAATGGTAATTTTGGTGGAAGTAGATGGAGATCATCTGTCACGATAGAGCGGAATATTTTACAAACAGCACCAAACTGGAGAACGTCTGCATGATCAACCATCTTTTCAGCGATAAGTTGCAAGAGAGCAATGGGAAGGCCATCGAGTGAGCCCATTTATAATATTCCTGAAATAGATAATATAGAAAGTAAATTAGAAAAAGTAATATTAAGGGCAGAGAATGTAATCAGTAGTGAATTAAAACATGATGCAGAATGACCACACATATAATAACACATCCTAATGAGGAAAGGTAGCATCCTTAGAATACGTATGTTGATAAGAAAAAATAGTTTGTTTGGGTTAGATGACTGCTGTAAATAAAAAGTCAGTCTTAAAACTAAAAATACATGTCCTGTTTAAACTGAAAAGGACTTTTCTAAATCTAAGATCATATTGTTACTAAATTGAGGAAAGAAAATTGTCAAAAACTAACTCCTAACGTTAGGAAAAGAAAAGTATCAACATTTTACTAATATTAATAGAATTTGTTATTCATGTCTAATATGACTAAGAACAATATTATCTCTACAAACTGCATCAATCTTAGCAGCTCCATACTATTTGATTAAACACAAGATAATAATTAGCTAAAACTAAGGGGTTGTTAAAACTAAAGGGTTGTTTGGCCGCTTTCCATCATTTTCCGAGTCCAACATGCCTTCACTTTTAGTGTTTCATTCACATTTCATGGAAATTTGTTTCTTGTGTTTGTTTTGTAAAAAAAAATATGGAGTAAAAAAAATATGGAGAATATTACGTACTTTCCACCACCAATTTGAAAAGAGAAGAAAGTAGTTGATATATAAATAGATTTCTTATTTTCCAGTGTTTATTTCAAACTAAAAAAAGAGGAAAAAACCTTGTAAAGGGTATAATTTGGTCACCATAGTGTACGCAATCGAAAATTCAAACCCAACAATTAACTTGATTTAGAAGTAGCAGAAGAAAGAAAAAAACTGGATTTAGCCTACAACATCTCTAGAAAATAAAAATCCACAATATCTCTTTAGTTTTAATAAAGTCATTTAACATTATTTTTGAGGAAAAACAAATTAAATTTTCATACACGATCAAACAAAACCAAGAAAATCATATTCATAAATGGTGATTTAGGAATTTTTTTTTTTTTTTTAAAAGCAGATCTAATGAGGAAAAAAGGGTATAACTTTTCAGATCTGACAATTAACGCAGAGTTGCAGCAAAAAGAAGAAATATCGTGAACTTGTTGTAAAGGACATCAACATAGTTTAAAAAATAACAAAACGAAGAGTAAAAGGACAAAAATAATACAAATAATCACACACCTCCTTCTCCTTGCTCTGATGAAAATTTTCGGTGACGGCTTGGAAAGAGGGGGAAGTTAGACCATCTCCAACGCAGCGGCATTTTGAGGCGAAAAGTGAAAATGCCGCTGCGTGGGAGCTCCAACTCCAACGCAGCGGCATTTTGAGGCGAAAAGTGAAAATGCCGCTGCGTGGGAGCTCCAATCGAGCGGCATTTGTTGCCGCATTTTGACGGGGATGAACAGCGCGACGCTATATTTGGCGTCGCACTGTTCATCCCCCATTACTGTTTTTTTTTATTTTTTTTTTCAATTTTTTTTTAAAACCTCATACTTTTATATATTTACAATTTGTCCCCAATTGTTTCATTAAATATATAAAACAACCCCAATAATATTTAAATTTTATAATTTCACCCCAATTGTATAATGTGGACAAAATAAATTATTTTTTTTTAAAATAAAAAAATGCTAAAATTTAACAGACATTATTATTAATTATAATATTAAAATCTAGACATACATAATATAAAACTTCATTAAAGAGCAATCATAATACATAATTCAAATATAAATTACATATCTGAAATACATAACATATAAAAACTGACACACATAATATAAAACTTCATTAAAATAAAACATAAAATACAAACTAAACATGGTGACGTTACTTAAGATGGACAAGCAACTCTCAATAATCTGGTAGATCGGGGCCAGAGTGTCCAATATCATTAAAATAATTCCCAAAATTAGAAGCAGACCCTTGTTCTTGTTGATTTCTTTTTTGTATTATTTTAATCTGTTGAGCTCGAACGTACTCACATACGTTTGGATCAGCAATGGAATTCAAATCTTTCATTATAATTTTCTATTCATCTCTATCTTTTTTCATGGCTATCTTTTCTCGTTCGATATCAAATGCTTCTTGCCTGTCCAAGCTCGCCTTGTCTAACCTGTCTATAAGTCGATTGTTGGAGGTCTCGATGGAGTCCACTACACTTGACTCATGATCATCATTTTTCCTTTTCAATTTAGCTTTTTTTACCCCAATAGGTCGTTCAGATGGAGTAAATGATGATAGTCTAGGAGATGTTGATATAGGAGATTCCGGAGTGGGATTATCTGATTGTGACGAGTCGAAGTTCACACTTTGGGATTGTCTTCGACCAACTTGTCTTGCTGTGGGGACATCATCTTTGAATTTTTCGAAATTTTTAACCATATTCCAGACATGATCAAATTTGAAACCTTTTTTGTACTTCAGTTCTTGCATAAATAACATCTTTGCTCGAACTAACTGTAAATTATAGTGAACATCAAGTTATGTATTTCTTCTTGCATAAATAACATCTTTGCTCGAACTAACTGTAAATTATAGTGAACATCAAGTTATGTATTTCAACAATAATAATAAAATTCAAACGATAATTAATAGAATACTTACAATATCTTCATCTGAAGCACCACTTGGATTCAGATTCTCTACTTGTCTCAAGCACGCATTCAATTTCCTTACTTCATTACTTATAATTTCCATTCGAGAACGAATTGATCGGATTTCCTTACTTCATTACTTATAATTTCCATTCGAGAACGAATTGATCGGCTCGTACGCATCTCAAAATGTTGATCTCGAAGTTCATTGTATTTGTCCTTCACACGAGACCAAAATGCATCTCGAGACTGGTTTCTACCGATAATAGGGTCTTGAGAAATATCCAAGAATACTTGACAAAGGAGCACATCTTCAGTAACTGTGTACCCAGTTGATCGAACAGACATTTTTTTTGTAAAAAGTGGTTGGTTTGGAGATCAGAAATACTTCGAATTGGGTGGTTTGAAGTAGAACTCATGAATGTTATTTATAGCCAATCCAAATTTGTTTTTTTTTTGTTTGAATTTGAATTTGAATTTGAATTTGAATTTGCGGTTGGTTTGAATTTGTCGGTGGTCAACATTTGAAATTGAATCATTTTGTACAAACTGATCAGCTTTACACATTATCCAACGTTGTCGGTGGGAATCAATTTTTGAAATCAGGTCAGCTTTACACATTGTCCAACGTATACACAGCTCAGCTCTCCTTGAATTGTGTGACAGCTTTGTACGAGTGGGAATCAATTTTTGAAATCTGTCAGCTTTACACATTGTCCAACGTATACACAGCTCAGCTCTCCTTGAATTGTGTGAAAGCTTTGTACGAGTGGGAATCAATTTTTAGAATCAGGTCAGCTTTACACATTGTCCAACGTGAACAGCTAAAAGCAAATTTGAATTTTGTGACAAATTGATAACAGCTGGAAAGCATTTCCTAAAATCAGCTCAACTTTACACATTGTTCAATGTATACAGCTAAGCAAAGTTTTATAAATAGCATACTAGATTAGGTACATCCACACAATTACTCGTTGTTGTGTTAAAATTATTATTCTCCATTTCTGCATACTTCAGTCATTCTTTTCTTACTTCAAAAATGAATTTCGATGTTGGAGGTCCATCATACTTATCATCATCTTCATCTTCGGATGATGATAATTTTCTGTCCAATATCATTGCAGAGATTGATGAAACCGAAGAAGTAATTTGTGAGTACATCAACAACAACATGATCCTCGTTAACAATTTACGTCAACACAACTACCAACCGATCCATGGTGGCTCGATTCCCGGTCATGCAGTGATCAACCGCGATCGAGAAAATGCGCATCAGAATTTGGTCATAGATTACTTTGCCGATAATCCACGTTTTGGAGAAGATATGTTTCGTCGTCGATATCGGATGTCAAGAAGTTTGTTCCTTCGTATTGTTGATGCAGTGAAAGATCATGACTATTACTTCCAACAACGAAGTGATGGACTTGGTAGAATGGGATTATCACAGTTACAGAAAGTAACAGCTGTTTTTCGCATGTTGGCATACGGTCTACCAGCTGATGCTACGGACGAATACGTTAAAACAGGTGAGTCAACAGCAATTGAAAGTATGACAAAATTTTGTCGTGCTATGGTGGAAATATTCGCAGAGCGGTATCTACGAACACCTAACGCTAACGATATTGCTAGGCTACTCTATATTGGAAAAAAACGTGGTTTTCCAGGAATGTTAGGAAGTCTTGATTGTATGCATTGGAAATGGAAAAATTGTCCAACAGCATGGTCTGGGCAATACACAGGACGTAGTGGGTCACCAACTATTATCCTCGAAGCTGTGGCAGATTATGATCTTTGGATATGGCACGCATATTTTGGTATGCCAGGCACCAATAATGATATCAATGTGCTGGAGTCATCTAATCTTTTCTCTAACCTAGCTCAAGGTATTGCTCCTCCCGCTCACTATGTTATTCAAGGAAAAGAGTATAATATGGGTTATTATTTAGCTGATGGTATATATCCGAAATGGGCTACTATTGTACAAACAATCCAACAGCCACAAGGTAGGAAGAAAAAATATTTTGCCATGAAACAGGAAGCATGTAGAAAAGATGTAGAACGTGCGTTCGGAGTTCTCCAATCACGATTTGCAATCGTGGCAGGATCAGCACGTTTTTGGAAAAAACATGTATTACATGACATAATGACTGCATGCATTATTATGCACAATATGATAATCGAGGATGAACGTGATCTTTATGCACCAATTCAAGAAGTGAGGGAAGCACCAACACCAGAAGTTGATATGGTAGCAGATGAAACTACAAGATTTACTCAATTTATTGCACGTTACGGAAAAATCAAGGATAAAGATGCCCATATTGCGCTTCGTAATGCATTGATAGATCATCTATGGGAGGAATACACTAATTCAGATAGTTAAGAGCATACTAAATTTGTAATTTTTACGTTGTTGTTAATGTTTAATTATGTTCTTACATTTTATTTTCTGTTGTGTTCTTGAATGTAATATTTTGGCAATACTAATAATAGGTATATAATATTTTATTGTTTTATTAGTTTAATTTTTTAAATAATAAATCATTTTGTTTGGAAAATATGTGAAAAAATAAAATTTGATATGTGAGGTTAATTTGTGGGGTTAATTGTTGAAATAGTTAAAAATATAGGGGATAAAAAATAATCATATAAAAGTAGATAAAAAGAAAGATACTGAGAATATTCTTTTTTGGTGTAAAAAATGGTGCAATGGGTTGGAGATGAATTACTGTTAGATGTGACTTTTGCACCATTTTGGTGCAAAATTTGCACCATTTTGAGGCAAAGAGTTGGAGATGCCCTTAGGCGTGTTCCCAACCCTATTTCACTTCTTAGGGCTTGTTTGGATTGAGGGGAAAGAGGGGGAAGTTAGGCGTGTTCCCAACCCTATTTGGGTGAAGGGAAGTTAGGGGAACCATTCACCTCCATTCATCTTGTTTGGGAACACTTAGGAGGTGAAGTTAATTCATCTCCATTCACCTTGGTTCACCCCCTAATAGTATAAAAATTGTTACCCCCCAAATTGTGAAGTTAATTCATCTCCATTCACCTTGGTTCACCCCCTAATAGTATAAAAATTGTTACCCCCCAAATTCGGGTGTAACCAAGGGGAAGGGAATTCTCTTCCATTCCCTTCCTTTCCATTCCCTTCCCTTCACTTAGTTTCCCTTAACTTCCCTTCACCCCCTACGAATCCAAACGGGCCCTTAAACTTTTTAGGGAAAATTACCCCTAACCCCTAGATCTTAAAGGCAAAGTCTCCACCCCCAAGTCAAAAATCGAAAACAACATCCCAAAAAAATAAACCCCTAGATCTTAAAAGCTATCCACACTTTAATATTAGTTAACTAAATATTAATTGTAAAACTTTAATATGTTTATTGTTAACTTTTACGTGTTAATTGTTAATTTTGGTGTGGCTTTTAGGGTCCGTTTGGATAATGGAAGTATTAGAAGTAAGAAGTAGGTTATAGAAGTAACTTTCAAAGCTATGAAGTAGAAAGTAGTGGAAATAATATTTTTTTTTTGTTTCATATATTTTTAGAAGTAATGGAAGTAGAACTTCTTCCTCTTCATTTACTTTTTTTGTTTGGATAACATTTGGAAATATTATTAGGAAGTAATTTTATCAATGAAAAGTTGTTAGAAGTAACTAATAAGGAAAATATTAATAAAAAAATTATTTATGTCATAATTAATATGCATTTCTACTACTTCCGAGCCGAGCTACTTCTGAGTATTGAGTATTGGAAAAATATTTTGGAAGTAAGGATGACACGTAGGCGCCACATAAGTATTTAGGAAAGTATTAGAAGTAAGTTTTTCAGAGAACCAAACACACTTTTTTGCTTGGAAGTAGCAGAAGTAGCCTCTACTTCTTTTACTTCAGCTACTTCACAATTACTTCCGTGCAAACAAACAGGCCCTTAAGAACAACAACTTTTTCGGGAAAGGGAAGCGGGCCTTTGATGGAGGTGATAATTGAGGAAGAATTATTGGGCAATAAAACTTAATTGTATTTCTTAATTAGCCATGAATATATACAAGTTACATTGTACAAATATAGTATGGAATAATATAAGTATTCCAACATATTCTCCATCTTAATAAGGTATATAATCTCCTATACAAGGTATATGACCGCCTCGAAAGATGTTGCTTCTCAACGAAGCTATCCACACTGGCAACATGTCCATATCGCATTTAATGCATGCTAAGCGCCATCATTCCTCTAGCCCCGATAGTCTTCATGACTCATCGGACTACGCGGGCCACTGTCCCGCCGTTGATCACCTCACATTTAATACCGAAGTGATCTACCCTCCAGTCGCTAGTCGACACCTGTCAAGCGATGGCCATCTCAGCCGCTTGCCTGCACTTTGCCACCGTCCTATTTTGTGCTGAAGTGATATGCCCTCCAATTGCCAGCCAACACTTGTTAAACAATGACCAACTCAGCCGTCTGTTGGCACTTCGCCACTGCCCCACTATGCCTGGCTGGTATGACCAATTTACCCATCAAGTTCTAAGTATAAATACATGTACTATTCAAACTTAGGGGGGATTCGCAAATTCTGATTTTCTAGCACATGACTGCACAATTAGAGGAACTCATAGTTCTTATTTTCCCTACTCAAATCCATCTACTGACTTTATCGTTGGAGGTACAACGTGAGAACCAATCCCCACCCTCTCAGGACTTTCTACGTGTGCATGTTAATCAACACCCCCATTCAAGAACTAGACATGAAGTCGGGGAAGAAAACGGCCCATCTTCGGAGCTCAAACTCAGATTAGCCCTTTGTGGTTTGCCCTGTAAATCTATTAAGCCCTTATATTTTTTATTTT